GTTGCAGCGTTATTCACAATAGCCAAGACTTGGAAGCAACCTAAGTGCCCATCAAGGGACGAATGGATAAAGGAGATGTGGTATATATACACAATGGAATACTACTCAGCCATAAGAAACGATGAAATCCAGCCATTTGTGACAACATGGATGGATATTTCGGGTATGATGCAAAGCGAAATAAGTCAGAGGGAGAAGGTCAAATACCATATGATTTCCTTCATTAAGTAGTAGATAAATACAACAATAAACAAACACATAGAGACAGAGATTGGATTGGTGGTTACCAGAGGGGTAGCGGGGAGGGGGGAGGGCGAAAGGGATAATTCGGCATATGTGTGTGGTGATGGGTTGTAATTAGTATTTGGGTGGTGAACATGATGTAATCTATGTAGAAATAGAAGTATAATGATGTACACCTGAAATTTATACAATGTTATAAACCAATGTTACTGCAATAAATAAGAAATTTGAAAAATAAAAAATCAAAATCAAAAAAAAAAAAAAGAGCAAAATGTGAGAACTTTCAAAGAGCTGGTTCAAACTGACTTTTATGGGCTCTAAGATGAGAAAGTTGCTTTGGAAAAAGTGACCTTTGCCAAGTGTCACCAAAGTAATTTGAGGAAACAAAAGTAAACACTAATAAATAGGCACATTACATTCATATAATCATCCCAAATTCAAAAGGAAGTTAGCTTTTATACTGTTATCTTTCATGATGAGACAGTTATCTTTGAGCAGTTGTCCTAGTAACTTACAGGAGTAATCACTGAAACTCAGTTACGCCTACAATGGCTAAAAACAAATATAAGAACCATTCAAGAATGACCACAAATACAGCTTTATTCTCTATGGTACAAGAAACCAATCACAAGCCCATCTATGTGAGACCGAGCTAATAAGAACATTATTTGAGAAGGGTACAAAGAGAAGGATGGATTGTCAAGGGGAAAATGTCATTTATCAGACTGTGTGTGACATGCTTTTAAACGTTTCTATTATCATTAACCAACTGCCCAGGTCTCTGGTTCGCACACTTGCCACCTCCATCCAAAGTTATCATTGTAGCAAACTTGGAAGTAGGCTCACCTCTAAGACACTGGCACCCTCTTCTGATCTTTTTGTAGTACTGCATGCATACCAGTTACTGAAGTGAAAAACTCTAATAAAGCCATAAATTAATAACTTTGCAGGTAACACTTTCCAGATAATTTTTTATTTGCAATTCCCTGAATAAACCTAAATTTACCTTAATAAAAATATGAAAGAGCAGACCTTCTAATAAAATTTATGTCAATGAAAAGAAAACCAACTATGTTCTCATAACATTTTAACAGTTTATATATAATTAGCTGATTTTATTATAATTATAATGACAACAATAACTAACATAGCAAAGACCTCACTGTATGCCAGGCACTAGTTGTGAATAAACTAATTTAATCCTAACAACAACCTTATGAGGTAGGCACTCCTATTCTTTTCATCTTATAGATGTGTAGTTAAATAACATGCCCAGGATTGTGCACCTGGTAGTAAGCACTAAGCTGAAGTTCAAACTCAGTAACTATGACTCCAGAGCCAGAGCCTAATTTATACCCGAAATATCCCTCTGAGGTAGAATGGAGCTGATATCATAAAATGAAACACAATTACAATAGAAAAACTGTAAGTTATAAGGAAAATTACAAAGACATCATCCAAATCTCTCATGTTTAACAAAGTCCCAAACTGTATGAAAATCAAATACTACATGCAATAGTTTTGGTCATTTTCTCATTCCTCCTCAGTTGAAGATTCTCATCTTCTGGGTCTATGATGTTTTTTTGCATTCTTTTATTCCCCATTCCTTTTTCTATCAAACTATGCCCTTATTTATGTATGATCTGGTTCTTTAAAAGAAGAGAAAAAACTAATCCATACTGTATGCTTTATTTTTCTTAGATGAAGCAGAACTACTTACCTATTCCTAACTAAATTCTCTACTTCATTGAAATCTTTAAAAAATGTTTGCATTAAGACAGTAAATCCAAATAGCATCATCAATTCCGTTTCATAGCAAATATGATAGATTCTCATCTGTCTGAATTATTTAGTGTATTCCTACCTGAAATTAAGGCTGACAGACTAGATAATCTTCTGAGATTTTAAAAACACTAACCTTATTTTCAAACAGGATATGAAGGTACATTGTCTAATGATCTGTAGTTCAAAACGAGATCTAGAACATTTCTAGATTTCATAGTATGCCTACTATTCTACTACTACTACTAACAATATCAAAAATTAAGAACACTTCATAATCCAAACACAGGGTAACAAGCTCAATGCCATTCATGACTGCAAGTTTTATGATGGGTGGGCACAAAAGCTTTATTTAGATTTCTTTTTTACAACTAAATATCTTTTCATTTCATAATGTTAGTTTAAAGTATATTTAGAAGTAGAGACTAAGTGACAGTCCAAAGTATTAAAAACATATATAAACTGCACCAGCTTTAATTAATTTGTTAGATCCAAGATCAACAGAAACAAGATGATTATATTTTAATACAATAACTGAATCACATTGTTCAAGAATTAACCATAACATTATTCTTATCTCCCAAATCTAAACAGAACTAATACAGCATAGGTAATAATACATATGAAAAGGTGTCAAGGAATCAACTCCCTGCAAATCTGAGAATTCTTCTTACCTCGGTCTGTAGGATGGCAGCCCTTTGCTCCTTAGCAGTCAAGGACTCCTTCAGCACTTCAATGTGTTGCTTGCTGTCTGAGAACTGGTTCGTGAGTGTTTCTAGCTTTGTCTGTAGGGCTAGTAGTTCTGTGTCCTTTCTGGACAGCTCCTGCTTCACCTGGCCAATCTGGAAGAAAATAAAATGCTGTAAGGAAAAAAGAAATGACACAACCACCCCTGATCTGGATTTTTGACAGATCTGAGTCATGAGATATGAAATTAAAGGCAGTGTTAATTTTATGACAGGATATAATTCATCTTTTCGCATCATCTAATCTTGGATTACCACCCCCTCCCCCCAAAAAACAAAGCTTATTCAACTAATAGAGAAATTTCCTATAAATTTTCATTTATTGTGTCTCCTAAACATTTTTTTAAATCCTTTAGAAAAGGAATGGAGAGAAAAATCCCAATTCAATTAGATGTCTATGAGATAGCAGTAAGCATCTGAAAACCACTGTGCTGATAAAACAGTTTTCATTTTATTAAGTCAGGCCTCTTCAGAATATAAAGCAGGATTAGTGTAGATGTAATAAAGAAGGAAAAAAAGGAACCTCCTAGTATTGCTATCTAAATTTAAATTCAAAAGCTAGTGCTGCTGTATTTTTTTTCATTAAGTTTTTTCTTAAAGTCATGTCATGCCATACCAACTAAATGGATAAAAGTTATTTGACCTAAACAAAGAATGCATAAAATTTCATTCTCTAGGAATCTACATGTGTAATTTTAATTTGAATTACTATGACAGAGTAATCCATAAATCAATAGGTACCATTCATTCTCCCATAAATTTCTCTCATCTTAACTTAGAAAACATTTTATTTCAAACATCTCCTTTACACTTCTACTGTGTTTCTAAGAATTCTTAAAATAGTCTTTTATTCTAAAGGTAAGCCAAAATAACAGAAGTCAGACCTGCTTTTACATTATGTCTACTGCCTAGCAAGGTAGCTGTGCACTAAAAGACAGACTAATCATTAGAAGCATAAACGTGACAAGAAGTCAATAATTTCAGTATCACTGACAAAATGAAAAGCACTTTTTTTAATTGAATGTATCTAAAGTATTTTAATTGTAATAATCTTAGGTATAAGAGACAAAGCTTTTGAGAATAATTTCCCATGAGAAAGTATGAAATAAATTTTACTTAATTAAAATTAGACTAAAGAGCACTAAAAGTAAATTTCTAATTTACTCTTCTGTTTCAGCAAGAAGACAAGCATTTTTCTCATATGCATTAAATCTCTATTTACAGATAGTTATTCATTCATTCAACAAATATTTATGTGTGCTTATTGTATGCAATGTACTTGAGGATACTAAGAACACCAGTGGAAGATAATTGTAAATGGCAGCTATTTTCATCTGTAATATAGATATGTACCCAGGAGTTACCACACTCTGTAATGGTGTAGCATCTTTCATGACATCCCTTTACTAACAAAACACACATATTAGTATTATTCTATTCCTAACATACAGAACACACTAAAAACACATTTGTTGTATGAATGAATATTCAGGAGAAACGTTCAAAGTGTTATCATTTCCTCAGCTAGAGATCTAGGGCTTAAAGATAACTCAAATTTCCAGCTACCTTTAATCATGTGATCAAAAATAAATATAAAATCTCAGTTTCCTCATCATCTGCATTATTAAGTAATCTTCAAATAATGCTGTATTGACCATAAAGATTGAGAAAGAGAAGAAAATACTCTAAATGGAAAGCAGAGTTTAGAAGCACAAATTTTCCTTAAAAGTTAGGAGCACAAGGCTTTGCAGCCAATCACACATGAGGATGAGTGTGTCTTTGAGTAATTACCTCTCTAAGCCTTGGTTTCCTAATCAGTAATATGGAGAACGTAAATCAGAGCCACTGTACTATTTAGATATTAAAATAATGTATGGAGTGCGCTTAGCCTGTTTGACACAAAGAGAAATGAACAATAGTAGCTGAGGAAAAAAAAAAGAAGTTATAGATCAACTTCTCTAGATAATACATGATCACCATAAAACAAATTAGACCCTTTCAGAAAAAATATTTCACTTTTCTATCTATACTATAAAGTGGTCCATAAATAGCAAACACACCAAATTAGCACAAGTTTTTTTTTTTTTTCTTAATGCTGCATTCCAGTCTTATCTCACAATTATTTTCAGAAGCAGTTTTTCTGACACTTGTGTGACAAACGTGTGCACGGCTTAGTATAGGGCAGTAGAGTGAAGAGCTTACCAGCATAGATTCTGGAACCAGATTGCTTGTGTAAAAATCAAACTGTGCCTCTTACTAGCTGTGTTTCCCAAGCACCACTCTGTTACCTCAGCTTCCTCATCTATAAATCGGGGTTGATAACATACCTACCTTAGTCAGTTATAAAATGTTTATAAGTGCTCATGTGTTAGCTATTCTATTATTAACTATTTTATTATATTTTGAAATAGAATTTTAAGTTCTTTAGACAGAAAACTGAACTATATTTAGAGACTTCAAATAAGTTTCATGCTAATTCTAATTTACTAGATAATTCTAAATAAGCTAATCACTTTCTACACATCTGTTTTAAACAAAGTAACATTTGTAGCAAAATCACCTAATGGGGATGTAAAGATGATGCCTATATATGAAGGTAAAGCGTTTTACTCAAGAATTTCCAATTCAAATAAACACTAGGTGATGGACCTAGAACATTTGGATATTTTTGTACGTAAGAAGAAAAAGAGACTACCATTCATATAAATCGAGTATCTAGTAACAGAAAAGGAGCTGAGAAAAAACAAGCTTTGAAGTTCCATCCATACAATGGCAAAAGCAACCATAAAGAACCAGGTATAGGGCTTCCAGAACACATGAGGGCTCACCGCACACAAAGTGACATATGGGTCAAACTGGTGAACAAGAGTCGGTTAAAGAGCAAAGCAGGCTGGTTAGTGCTAGTATTGGGCAAAGCTGCCAACCATAGAGAATGACAGTGTAAGTCACCCAGAAACCAGAGCTAGCAGGGTCCCACTGTGGGATCACTGCATACAGAGTAAATCTTACGGCAAAGACCTCAGCCTGAAGACCAGCCGCTCTCTTTTTCAGCTCCTCCCCTTGAGCCTCTTTCGAACTTAGTTCCTCCTTCAGTTGCTCTACCTGTCACGACATTGTTATTCTTTTTTACTTATGCGTCAACTTAGGTCTTCTTCTTATCTGCTTTTAAGCCAGAGCAGTAACTGCAAATAATAATAACTTATATAACACAATCAAATCTGTTCCCCTAATTTCCTTTTCAAAGGACCCCAGATGGTTTCTCTATTTTCACAGGGTTTTTTAAATGGACTGGAATGTGCTAATCAGCAAATAGGAGCAGAGATTATATTGTAGTATATTTTGTTCTCAAATTAGGGTGAAAAATTCAAACTAATAGAAAGTTGAATATGTGAATTTTTCAGTTCTAAAATTAACATGAAATTGGCAGCAATCATCGATAACAGATTCTTAAAATAATAGAGGAATATTCTACAGACTTATGTGCCAGGTACGGCTACCACAGCAAGAAGCCAGAAACTAGAGAGTGAGAAACTTGACAGTTTTCACTTCTGAGAAACTGTGGAACTAATACAATTTGGATATGAGGGTTGGGGAGAATACTTATTTTCTAGCTAACATTTTATAATTACAATGATGATTTTTAATTAAACCACAACAAACCTGATAAATTGATAACTGTAATAAACTAAATCCTCCAATTTGCCTAAATAGTTTATAGAATCAAACTAAATGACTTTGGATCTAAGGAAGGAATACTGTGACCTAGTTTATAAATACAGACTGATATGTCTCAATGGTACCTATCTTACCGTACATACACCTGAAGGGCACATGGGAAACAATAAACCTGATACAAATGGATCTTCTCAAAGGGATAGAGCAAAGGGCTTTCCTTTATGGAACTGTATTTGAAGGGAAAACATGATTTTACTTAAGCCATTTCAGGAGAAAAAGCGGGGGGAGGCAGTGCTGGGTTCAGCCTCTTAAGAGTTTTGACTTTTGTTTTTTGTTTTTTGTTTTTTGGTGAGGAAGATTGGCCCTGAGCTAACATCTGTCGCCAATCTTCCTCTTTTTGCTTGAGGAAGATTGTCGCTGAGCTAACATCTGTGCCAGTCTCCCTCTATTTTGTATGTGGGACACCCCCACAGCATGGCTTGATGAGCAGTGTGTAGGTCCACATCCAGGATCCGAACCTGCAAACCCTGGGGTTGCCAAAGCGGTGTACGCAGACTTCACTAAGCCACCAGGCCAGCCCCTAGGGTTTTGACTTTTAAAACACTTCACAAGAGGTAGAGAACTTGATGTCTCATATAGTGAGAAAAACTCACCTGGATGTAATTCTACTAAACCACCACAGAAGTACTGATGGATATAAAATGTTAAACTTTTATATAAATACTTAGCCTCATACAGGTAATTTTCTCTTAAGTGAAAACACGAATAACTACATGACATCAGTAATTCTGCCTTTAATTCTGGGAAAGTTCCATTTGAAACAATTATGTTAGAAGCATTCTTCCCTGAAGTCTGATAAAACAGTGTGAAGTTCATCATCACTAAGGAAGTAGGAATATGCATCAATTTTTCAAACCCCATTTAAAAATTACAGTATCACACACCATTACCTTATTTTTCATAAATTTAGAATGGCTCCGATAGACCTCCATTTGCTTCATTTCTTCCTCCCGCTCTTCAGTACTCAAAGCCCCATTTGATTTCAGCATCTGAATTTCCTCTTCCAAGTCTCGGAGCCCACGCTCCATAGAGGAAATTTTTGAATCCTGAGGACATTGGAAGATTTAGACATTAAAGTATTCACAAAAAAATCAGAGAAGTTGACTCGATCTTCACAGATGTTAAATTTAATAAAGATAAACACATATGCAGAAAAATTGCTGCCTAGCAATTGGTGCCTTGCTTCCAAATTATATCCTTTATGGTCATTTGGGTGGGAGAAGGAGGACTCATGTCTATAATATGATTCTTCCTCTATCCCTTCCTCCAGTCTACACCTTTTCCATTAAAGTTGAGAGAATTAACTAAAGAAGTAGAAGCAATGGAAAACTGGTTAAAGTTTCTTTGCACTCTGTGGTCCACAAATTTCTAGTGAAAAATTTTGTAATATTAACAGTAAAAACTTTTCTAGCTATATTTTATCATTTTACTTGGTGACCCCTAAAAGGTTTATTTCTGCCCCCAATGGTGGGAGGAGAAGGAGAAGAGGGCTTCAAAGATTTATACAATAATATGTGTAACTATATTTACAATAATAAAGATTTTATAACAACCCATTGCACAAAAACAAAGAGGTGAATAATTATATTAACAGTTACAATTTATCATATTAGTAATCTTATTGTCTATACTTATCCATATATTTGAAATATTTCATAATAATTCAAAAAAGAAACATCACTGTCCTTGTAAATCACCACCACAAATTATCAACTCCCAGTAGAACATCATTCTATAGTCAATTTCTTGGTTTTGTTTATCACAGTATCTAGTTTACCCCTGGATTATTTTAGATGTTATCAATTACAGAAAGATTGCTTTAGACGGCATCAATTACAGAAAAACTCCTACAAAGAATGGATATTTTCATATCTTTAGTTGCACATGCTTATTCATCTAAGAAATAAAGACCTTAAAGAGCATAAATAAAGAGCTTCATTTTATTTCGAATTTTAGAGAAACCACTCCTTTAGGAAGTAATTTTGAGATGGACTTCCTTTTGCACTTTACCTCAAGGATTTCTTGACTGACTCCTTGCTATCATAATTCTTAGAGCATGAAGATAAAAGTTAAAGGATCTATCATGAGACAGTTACAACTAGTTATTTTTAGGTTCAGGGGAGAGGAAAGGGATGTACTCCCCTGTCTTGCATTGCATTACCTTTAAAAATATCACAACAAATATTTTCTTTTACAAATCTATTCAATATAACTTATGTTTGGTTCAAACTTAAATGTATTGAATTAATACAGTCAGAGACATTCTAAACCTAAACCAAGATTTTGATTTACTTGTTTAAAATTAGTGGGTCTCAGGCAATCTCCCAGCCTATAAAGAATAAATAAACTACCTCAGTTGCACTATCTGATTCACTGCTGCACTACCTAAAATTCACGTTTTTGATGTGAGGAAGAGTGGCTCTGAGCTAACATCCACCGCCAATCCTTCTCTTTTTGCTGAGGAAGATTAGCCCTGATCTAAGATCTGTGCCCATCTTCCTCTATTTTGTATGTGGGATGCTGCCACAGCATGGCTTAATGAGCGGTGCATAGGTCCGTGCCCGGGATCCAAACCTGTGAACCCCAGGCCGCCAAAGCGGAGCATGTAAACTTAACCACTATGCCACCAGACCAGCCCCTAAAATTCACTTTTAAGATTACTATAAATCTTCCTGGAAATATCAGGATGTAGTCCCTCAAGAATGACTAAAATACGAGGCATGTGCATGTGACTAACTGCAAATGAAAGAAAGTGAAATGTGGTTCACCTCTGACATCAGCCTGAGTGGTAATGAAAGGGGCCAGCAGAAAGAGAGTGCATTTCTAGCACCACTGGTGCTCCACACAAGACAAAATAGCCTCCAGCTAAGAACTCCAGCTCTGCACATCACATAGACAACCTCTACCTCTACAAAAACCCTTGCAAGGCCCTTGCCAAGAAACATTATCCATCTTCTCCCCTAACCCCAACACAGATAGATGCAGCTCTTGACCAGATCATGCACCGGGAAAAGCTACTCCCCAGAAAGGGGGCATAACTGCAGCTCTGAAAGCCATGAGGTAGGCACTAACTAATCAAAAAAAGAACCTGCCAGACTACTCTCTGAAATCAGGAGACAAAATGAATGCCTAATATGCTCAACTAGTTCTAGCACCAACTCAACCAGTTCTCAGGCTGGGTTTATTTGAGGATAGTCCATCCAAGGAGGTTTCTTATTCCTAGAATGTGTAATAACTAAGTAAATAAATTCCTTTTCATCTTACTAGTCTGTATTTCCCCAGCCTTAGGTCTTCCATCATTAATCAATCAAGCCCACTGAGCCTACTGAAATTCTCTGCTCCTTGTTAAATTTCCCAAATCCTCAACTGTTTTCAAAAGTTGTCTCCCTACCCCAAGTAAAACCTGGCTTTCCCATAGGATACCATTTCCCTGAACTCTCTCCGGTGAAGGTCACTAATCCCCCAGCACCACAAAGGAGCAGGGAAAAAGTGGGCATCCTCCTGATTCCTCTCTGCTGTTCCCCTTTATTTAAAGCTCATACTCCTTTTCACTTTACCCTCTTTACTACTGCCACCTAGTGACTTTCCAATCACTCTTGCCCATTTTAAGTCTGGCACCTGGCTCACAATCAATATTCCCTCCAAATGCCGTTCTTGCCATCATCCCAGGATTTCAATATCCAAATTCCTTGATGTCTTTAATTCCAGTGACCTCATGCTCCAGTCCATTTTAGCTATCCAGTTTATAGGACTATACTCTGGATCCTATCATCACCTAGGACTCACTTCCCAGGCCCGTCACACCATCACTCTGTTCTTCAACCTCACAGAGATCTCCACTTCTCTGACTTTCAGATTTTCTCCCAACCTGTCACTCCATTCTGAACTGTCTTCCTTCCTATCCAGGTGACATTCCTGGACTGATCACGCAAACTACTCTTTCACCATCACTCTCAATTCATTTGCATCCCAACAATTCTGCTGTATCTCCCCAGCAAAACTCTAACCCTAGAGCAGTACAGTAATTCTTCCCTGCTCCTCCACTGCTAAAGGAAAAAGAAAAAAAAAAAATCAGAGAAGAAGGGAGGAGGAAGCAGAGGGGAAGAAGGGTAGAGAGGGAAAAGATGGAAAGAGGGAAGAAGGTGAGTGAATGGAGAAGGAAGGGAAAGAGAGGAGGAAGAAGAAGAAAAGGAGGAGAAAGAGGAGGAGAGAGAAAAGAAATTATATCACCTTGAAGACTGGGGGGCCCTTTTACTGTCTATCAGTCATCTTCCTTTCTCATTTCCCCCACAGACCATTCTAGATCTACATAATTCTCTCAAGCTCATCCCAGACTCTCAGCAACTCAACTATTTCAGTTGTAATTTCAGCATAATATCCACCAGACCCCACTGAGCCACTAGAATCTCTTGCTTCTTAGCAGAATGGCTGAAAGTTAACACAACTTAAAACAGATTCACTGCCGATTAATACCATTACACTTCCCCATTCTGTCAAAAGGCGAGTAAAATAATTTTGTGAACATAGGTACATTCATGTGTTTTATTCTCAGGTTTCAACAGAGATTATGTACCAATACACTTGTGGGAAATGTGAACATGCAACTAAACCTTCCTAAAGGCTCTTTATAAGATTATGCTCAAGACTACTAATTGTCTAACTATAAACAGCCCAGAATCCACTAATTTGGAATTTGTTTGGTAAATCCTTTCCCGATTGAGAATAAAGACGTACACAATATACACAAAGTTTTAAGAGGAAATCATCCAAGAGAACAGTTCTCATAACTGTATTTGAGAAGCATATATTTACATAAAACTATTTATATACCAAAAACTAAATATTTTTGTCACATCAGCAAATTTTTTTTTTTTTTTTAAAGATTTATTTATTTATTTTCACCCCAGAGCCCCAGTAGATAGTTGTATGTCATAGTTGCACAGCTTTCTAGTTGCCGTATGTGGGACACGGCCTCAGCGTGGCCGGAGAAGCGGTGCGTCGGTGTGCGCCCGGGATCCAAACCCGGGCCGCCAGCATCAGAGAGCATGCACTTAACCGCTAAGCCACAGGGCCGGCCCCACATCAGCAAATATTCAATGAAGGCCCAAAATGCACAGTGTCAAACTTTTTAGGGGATATGAAGAAATTAAAGAGAGAGAAAGAGGTCCTTATCTATAAGAGTCTTTTAGCTTAAGAATATGTTGTTAATAAAAATAATAATAGCAGCAGCAGCTAACACTGATTGAAGCTCTACTATGTGCCAGGTCCTGTTCAAAGTGTTTTACTTGTTTTAACTAATTTAAACCTCAAAACAAACCATGGGATAAGTACTATTATTGTCATCATTTATTGATAAAGAAATTGAGGCATAGAGAGGTTAGGTAACTTGCTCTATATCATATAGTTAAGTAAAGCCAGATTTTGAATCCAGGAAACTTAACTCGGAAGGCAAGATCTTAAGCACCAATCACCATTTCATACAGCCTAAAGATTTCTAACTGTTCATTAACTTCAAGTAGAGGTTTTCAAAGTATGGTCTGTGGAACCCTGGGGGTCCCCTCCTAGACCCTTTTCAAGAAGTCAGCATAGTCAAAACTATTTTCATAATAATACTATGACTTTATTTGCCTTTTCCACTGTGTTAACATTTGCACTAAAGATACAAAAGCAACAGTGGGCAAAACTGCTAGTGCCTTAGGACAACACACAATAGCACCAAACTGTACAAGAAGTCACTGTATTCTTCAATGTCAGGCACTTGCAGAACAAAAAAAGAAGGAAAAGTTTTAAAAAACTGCTTCACTTAAGAATGTCCTTGGTTATTTTATTTTAATAAATCTCAACCCTTGAGTACATATCTTTTTAATATTCTGTGTGATGGAATGGGAAGGAGCTAGGCTCCTGCTATATACTAAAGTATGATGGTTGTTCCTAGGAATAGCATTTGTGTGCTTCTTTGAGCTGCAAGCTGAATTAGGTACTTTTTTCATGGAGTATTATTTTTTCTTCTTTGTGAGGAAGATCAGCCCTGAGCTAACATCCATGCCAATCCTCCTCATTTTGCTGAGGAAGACTGGCCCTGGGCTAACATCTGTGCCTATCTTCTTCACTTTATACAGGACACCGCCACAGCATGGCCGGACAAGCGGTGCATCGGTGCACGCCAGGCTCTGAACCCAGGCCGCCAGCAGCAGAGTGCTCGCACTTAACCACTACGCCACCGGGCGGGCCCCCTGGAGTATTATTATTATTTTTTTTAAAGATTTTATTTATTTATTTTTTTCCCCCCAAAGCCATAGTAGATAGTTGTATGTCATAGCTGCACATCCTTCTAGTTGCTGTGTGTGGGACTCGGCCGCAGCATGGCCGGAGAAGTGGTGCCTTGGTGCGCGCCCGGGATCCGAACCCGGGTCACCAGCAGCGGAGCGTGCGCACTTAACCGCAAAGCCATGGGGCAAGCCCTGGAGTATTATTTTTACTTAAAAGAACAACTGACTACTCAGACTTGATATCTGGCAGACATTTTCTTAAAAATGAATGAAATGAGCCTGTTACTTTAAGAGAATAAAGGGGTCCTGAGATCAAAAGGTTTCAGCATAGCAGATTTAAAGAAATTCTGGGGGCCAGCCAGTGGCGCAAGTGGTTAAGCGCGCATGCTCTGCTGCGGCGGCCCAGGGTTCACCGGTTCGGATCCCAGGCACGCACCGACGCACTGCTTGGCAAGCCATGCTGTGGCGGCGCCCATATAAAGTGGGCACGGATGTTAGTCCAGGGCAGGTCTTCCTCAGCAAAAAAAGAGGAGGATTGGCAGATGTTAGCACAGGGCTGATCTCCTCACAAAAAAAAAAAAAAAGCAATTCTGGACAACCCTTTTCGGCCCAATTTTGAGTTATGGTCTACAATTAAAAGGAAATGAAACTGAAGTTCTTTTGAAGTGTCATTTTCATTAAGTCTTACTATGTCTTCTCAACCTACAAAATGAATGAAATATTATTACATACCACTTTCTGAAACTCACACATGAAAGTGTGTGATCACTTAAAAGTGTAAACTGATTCATAAGATTCTTTATTAGATTCTCACTCACCTTCATTTCAATAACAGTTTGCAGAGCTTTTGTTTTGGCAGAATCAGGAGCATTCTCAAATCTCCGATGCATCTCCTATACAAGAGAAGCAAAAAAGAGAGTAAATGTCCTCCTTTTCACTCTCATTTTTTTTAAAAGGGAAGGCAGAGGAGGGGAGCGAAGAGAGAGTAGATGTGTGCAAAGATGATTACCCCAGCCTTACAAAACACTCTGATACCTTTCTGTCTCCCCAACCTTTCCCTGTGGATCAGGGAACCCACAGACCGCATTCAGGCTAAGGAGGCATAGGAGGGTCCCCATCTCTGAACACCTAGTTATTTAAAATTAGTCACACAGACCCCAGCTACTGCAACAGTTGAAACTGTTAGAGTCAATCTTCCACACGACTCCAAGACATATAATCAGAACTCCAAACAATCCAAAAAGGGGATCAGAAATATTCCCTTTTTAAAAGAAGAAATAAAAGCAGCTACAATCAGCCTGTATTGCACAAAGTGACCGAAAGCATCTGTGTTGACAACATCCTTTCCACAGCATCCACCCCCAGAGTAACAACCACCTAGCTACCTATGATGAAAATCTCTCTCCAGTGGGGCTACAAGTAAAAAGAAAAAGAAGATAAGACTGTTGAACAAGTTTCCTAAGTAGTTCATGTATAGAAAATGTCAGAAAAACATAGCTATTTTTTTATCCAAATTTTACTCAGTTCATGATAAGGAAGGAAGGAGGGGATGATAGTAATATTACAATTAGGGTCTTCAAGGACCACCCTGAGGTTACCAGACCACCTCAGGCTATTTTCTTGACAGACTTTGTGAATGTCTCTGAGTTAGTCAGTATTTCCAAAGAACACTGGGACAGCCTCTAGTGACCCCAGAGAATACACAGATGAATACTTTGCATCTGAACAGTGCTAAACCATAATGTATAATACTTTAATTATACTTTTCACCTAATTTACTCATTCTTGCCTGACCAGGAAGAATAGTTTGAGAGAAAAAGAAAATAGAACTACAAACTTCACTAAGTTACTTCTTCCTGAAAGAGTAGTCTCAATGAACTGACAAAAGTTCTAAATCATCAACAGTCAACAGTTTCAACACCAGTAATTTCTGAACATCCACACTCCCCATCTGGCTGCTGCTACTATGGTGCAAATCACTATTAGTACATACCACCTTTCTGCTACCTCTCTCCCTAATTCCAATCTTAAATATGCAACTAGCCATCCCTCTTGTACGTTTAACAAACACCTCAAACTCTACATGCCCAAGACTAAACTCTTCGTGGTGCCCCAAAACCTGCTCCATGCTCCCAGTTACTCAGGTTAAAATCCTATGAGTCTTCTTAATGCCCTCCTTTCTCTTTCAAGCCACAGGCAATCAGTCAGGAAATTCAGTTAACTCTATCTTCAAAACCTATCAAAAATCCAAACACTTCTTGCCATCTCCATTACTACCACTTTGAATGAGCCACTAATGAAAATATCCTTTTAATCCAACAATAACCTCCTAGTTAGGCTCTCCACTCTTTTATCTTGCTCCCCTACAGTGTATTTTCAACAGAGCACTCAGAATGACCCTTTTAAACATAAATTTGATCCTCTGCTCAAAACCCTGTCATGGATCCCCATCTGACTCAAAGTAGAGCCAAAGTCCTCTCCACAGCCTACAAGATCTCATCTCTTACCACTCGATTCCCTCAGTCACTATGCTTTAGCCACACTGAACTCCTTGTTGTTCCTCAAATACGCTAGGCATTCTACAGTTCCTTAGGACCTTTACACTAGATGTTCCTGTTGCCTACACTCTCTTTCCTCAGCTCGTGGGGGAAAGACTTCATCTCCTTCAAGTCTTGGCGCTAATGTCTCTTCTGTATTATTAGGTTTATTAGAGCAGTGATAATCACATTGTGGTTATGCAAGAAAACATCCATGTTTTAGGGATGCATATTGAAGTCTACAGAGGTAAATTACATTGTGTCAGGAATCTGCTTTAAAACCTTCTGTGAAGAAAACAAAAAGGAAAAAAAGATACATGAAGCAAAGTATGGCAGAATTTTGCTAACTGCTGTATCTGAGTGATAAGTATATGAACATTCATCGTACTATTCTCACTACTTTTGTGCAGGTTTGAAATTTTTCATCAAAAATTAATGTTTAACGTTCTCAGTGTAACCTACCATTTTAAAACTTAAAACTGACAAGAAAGAACCCGCGTGTCCTTTCCCTCCTTTTTTTTGTCCTTATTTTACTTTTCCTTTCTCCTATAGCACTTATCCTCTAACATATTAGATAATTTGTTATGTGTACCATTTATTTTCTTTTTCCCTCTACAAGAATATACACTCCACAAGGCCTTTGTTTCATTCATTGATGAATCCAAAGTGCCTAGAACAGTAGCTGCTACACTGGTAAGTGCTTAATAGATATTTAAAGAATGAATGAATGAATGAATAACGAATGGTTACCAAACTTGCAAGACTTAGCTAAAGAGAGAATCTTTTTTCTTTTTTTTGTGAGGAAGATCGGCCCTGAGCTAACATCTGCCAATCCTCCTCTTTTTTGCTAAGGAAGACCGGTCCTGAGCTAACATCTGCCAATCCTCTTCTTTTTTTGCTGAAGACTGGCCCTGGGCTAACATCCATGCCCATCTTCCTCCACTTTATATGGGACGCTGCCCCAGCATGGCTTGACAAGCGGTGCGTGGGTGCGCGCCCGGGATCCGAACCGGCAAACCCCGGGGCCGCTGCAGCGGAGCGCGTGCACTTAACCGCTTGTGCCACCGGGTTGGCCCCAAGAGGGAATCTTTTAACCCTTCTTACTCCTGCGCTGAATTATATGCACCTCCTCTTATTTCTCATACAGCTTGCTACACAGCCCTCGTTTAACCACCTACAACATTATATTTGGAATAATTTTCTACTCTAACATACCAGATTGTGAACTCTTTAAGGGCAAAAACTGTCTTTTGTATTCCTCAGACACTATGTGACAAGTAAACAATCATTAAAAATGATTTCTCCTCGACATCCATTCCTCTTTTGTTGGATGAAGAAATGAGTGAATACATGAATAAATTATCAGCTAATTTCCATCTTCACCTCTCTATTGGACAACTCTCTCTACCATACCAAATAAAGGACCTCCTTGTTTCTAAACCTAACAGCTGTGGTCAGTCCACACCCTTTCTGAACTCCATCTAGTAGCTGACTTTTTTTTTAACCATCTAGTTAAAGGAGGAATATCTTTAAATTTTTCAATTGGCTTCCATTAAAGAATTATCCCAGCTCTAAATGCTTATTCTCTCTGCCGTTTCCCCTATCTTACCCACAGACAAACATTTTCTAAATTCCTGTCTTTGGAACTCTTCTCAATTCTATAGCTCCAAACAAGGGCCTCCACTAGCCCAGAGAGTAACTTAATTTGAATTAGAAAAAAGCAACCTTTCTGGGGTAGATGCAACCTCACCATGAAGCATGGGTTGAATTTTAGGCCCCACTTGCTCCATCAGTAGGAAGCTCTTGTTTGGTGAAGAACCTACACACACAACCAATCCAAGGCAGCCCTTCAACCCCCAGATTTAACTATTACCTTTCCATGGATAACCTGCAAAATCTATTTCTCTAGCCCAATAGTGGATATCTATTACCTTTTCTTGCCATGTCTGATCTCCTTTCTATGGTTGGGGACTCCACATTTTAAGACAGAGTCTACGTTCCACAATAAAAGCTAAAAACGTCACATACTTGTTTTCCCATCCTTCCTTGCAGTTAAAGCCCAGACATGTGACCTAACCACCCCAATCAGACATATATATCACTTACTTTGAATTAGAATGCTATACCATGAAGAAGCAGGGACATGAATATTTAGAGACAATTCTGGCAATAAGTGGCAGAGACAGCAGCTACCTCAAGCTTCCAGACTCAGGAATGGTAGAGGTTCCGGTGTTAGTAAGCAGTGTCAGTGGTATCAGCGGAACAAGCCGCTGTGCCTGCACCAACAGCAACACCCTTCACCAAACCCATAAAGGAGCATGACTGATTTGGGCCCCTGTTTTTGGCTATATAACTTCTGAACCCAGTTCTCTAACCCCCCTAGAGATTCTGGGACCTAGGTATTTATTCATTTACTCATGCCAGGAACTACGCTAAGTTTTGGAGATATAATTGGGGAGCAATAAATTTGGTCCCTTTTATCGTAGAATTTTTAGTCTACCAGGAAAAACTAGACTTTAATCAAATAATCACCTAAACAATTCATCAGGGTCACCAATGACCCCCACATTGCTAAAACCCATGACTCATCCTTAGTCATCATCTTACTTGATCTATGAGCAGCATTTGACATAGTTGCTCAATCCCTCGTCTTTATTACACTATCTTCCCTGGGCTTCCAAGACGTGACACTAAGTTTTTCTTCCACCTTAAATGGTTTCTTTTCTGCTCAACTCCCTAGGAGTGCCCAAGGCATTAGTCCTTTGTCCTCTTCTCTTCTCCATCTACATTCATTCCCTTGGTGTTCTCATCCAGTCTCATAACTTTCAATACCACCAATATAATGATAACTCCCAAATCTGACCTCCTGCTGAAATCCACACTTGTATATACCACTGCCTTCTTAGCATCTCCATGTGTATGCATATCTAACAGATATCTCCCTGTTAATATGTCCAAAACTGGACTCCTAATCTTTCCCTCAACTCGCTTCACCTATAACATCACGATTAATGGTATGTGCCCACCCAGTTATTTGGGCCAAAAATGTGAGTCTTTTTTTCTTATACCTACATCCAAGCCATCAGGAAATTCTGTTGTTCCTACTTTCAAAATGTCTCCAGAAACCGACTGTCTTACTACCTCCACTGCCACGCTGATCTGAGCCACCATTATCTCTTGCCTGAATTACAGCAACAGTCCCCCAAAGTTGATCTCCTTATTTACAATAAAGCAGCTAGAGTGTTCTTTTTAAATAAACATCAAAACATGCTTGAAACCCTCAAAAGCTCCTCACTTCATTCAAAGTAAAAGTCACAGTCCTTATGCTGGCCTAGAAGGCCTTATGTGATCTGGCC